CAAAAATTATTTAACCACCTAATAAACATGCAATGAAATATGAGGCTCCTTTCACTGCAGGAACCTCCTTTCCCAGGTCCTCTCCCCAAAGGCAGCCGCTGTTAATGGTTTCTTGTGTGTCTTTTCAGAAACAAGACATTCTCTGTGCACACAAACATATATATGGATACGTAGTCACACTTTTTTTACTCAGTGGCAGTCTACCATCCATACTGAGTTACACTTGGCTTGAGAGACTCCGAGAGACTTCCATGTTCGCTCTCATGAAGGTACCAATGAGCTCCCTGCTGTCGAACCAAGGCCACCTGTCAGTCCGCCCCATACTCCGTCAGCTAGTGGCACCTTCCCCAACTCTGGAACACTTCCCTCACACGGCCTCCAGGGCTAGTAACTCCTGGTTTTCCTTCCATATCTTCAGCTCATTTGCTGCTGCTTTTACTCCTCCCTGACCTCTGAACATGGTGCCCCTGGGCCCCATCCTTGAACTTTTCTCTAACTACCCTCACACCCTTGGTGATCTCATCCGGTCTCATGGCTTTAAATACTACCCCTATACTGACAACTCCTGATTTCCTATCTCTAGTCTGAGTCATGCCCCTGAACTCCAGGTTCTTTTATCAAATTTCCTACTTGATATCTCTACTCAGATGGCAGACATGTCTCAATCGTGAACTGTCCAAAACAGAACTCCTGCCGTGCCCGCCCAACCTCCTGCCTTCTTCCCCATTGCAGTTGCTGGCAACTCCATTTGTCTGGCTGCTCAGGCCGCCAGCCTCAGCCGTGCACGTTTTCTCTCTTGCCCTCATACCCTGTGTCCCCCTGCATCAGCACATCCCACTGACTCTGCCTCAGGCTGTATCCAGAATCTGAGCACTTCTCACCTTCACAGCTGCCGCCTGGGTCTCAACCATCATCATTTCCTTCCTAGATGACTGGGATAGAATCCTAACTGGCCCCTCTACTCCATCCCTCCTCCTCCACCCAGTCTCTCCTACACATGCAGAGTGGTCCTGGTAAAACTAGGCAACGTCCTATACTCCTCCGAGGAATCCTGTCTCGCTTGGAGTAAATGGCAACATCCTTGCAGTGGCCTGGGAGCCCTCCACAACCTGGCCATTCTCTCTCTGGACTTACCTTCTACTATTCCCCCCTTTGCCCATTCTGCTCCAGCCAGAATGTCTGGAGGCTTCCTGACTGTCCCTTGTTGACACCAGGCCGGAGCCTGTCTCAGGGCATTTGCTGTTCCTCTACCTGAGAACCCTTACCCCAGACATCTACACAGCTTGCTTTCTCACCTTTGTCACACCCTTGTCACCTTCCAGTGGGGTTCACCTTGATCACTCAATTCTAATCACAACTCACCACTTCTTGTCTCCTGTAGTAAGCTTCATTTTTTATATCATGCATTACTAATGTACTACATGATTTACTTATTTTTTGTCCATTTTTTTGGCCATTCTTTGTCCACCCTGAGAATACAAACTCCCCGAGGACAGGGGTTTAGCGGTTCTCATCACTGCCATAACCGTAGTGCCTAGAATAGCACCCAATGCAGAGTAGGTGCTTAATAAGTACTTAGTGAGTGAAAGAATGAACAGATGTTACCATGTTTGATTAATTTAATGGCTGCAGGGGTCCACTGTATGGATCATGGGATGACAACAGCACAGTGGTGGCTAACAGTTAGGAGGCGTGTCTGATATGGTCCTTCACGGATTTAGTGCCTGTACAAATTTACAGTCCTTGAAGCACTGACTCATTAAAACTTCTCAACGATCTTATGACCTAGGCTTGATAGCCATTTGTATTTAATAGATTATAAAACTGAGGTTCAGAAAGATTGATTCGCTTGCCCAAAGTCACACAGAAAATAAATGGTCATTCCTTCCTGCTGCATTGTCAACTACCACCTTTAATTACTTGTGCCAAACTTGTCACAGAATGTGTATACCATGATTTACTTAACCAGTCTTCTACTAATGGACAGTCTTATGATACTCAGATGAGGCAAGCAAGGCTCGGAGAGGTTAAGAAGATTGTTCAAAGTCATACAGCTCTATCAGCCAAACCCTAGGTCTGATGCCCAAGCACTACCTTATAAGCCCCTCAGAGTCTCTTTCTTCCCCAGGAGAAGGACTGGGGTTAAGAAGGCTTCTCAGTGGCCGGTGGCAGTATCCTTCCTCCCTAAGGCCCTCCCTCTACAGCAGTTCCTCTCTTAGCTATAGAATCTCCTGCCAGGTGGCCCCTGGCCAGGGGCACACAATAGCCCATTTAATCCCTTAATGGTACATCTGCTCCCAGAGGGAATGTAGATGTGTCCAGGTTCCTGTTCTGGAGTTTCCCCACCTGTGCCCCTCTCACATCAAACACTACCTAACATTCATTTACTCAGTCACTTTAACTGAGCACTTATGCTTGCAGGCCACTGTTAGAGGCAGTTTGGCTTCATCAGAATCCAAACAGAGCCTAGACTCTCAGGCACTATCACCTTGTATAGAGGGTACAATGGTGCGCAGAGAAAAATGTGGTCCCTGCCCTTGAGAGGCTCATAGTCTAGTGGTGGGACAAACATTAGTCAAATGCCCAAGTAATAGTCCAAGCATGATTAGCATTGCCATCAAAGGCACAGAGACTCATATGGCTGACATGCCAGGGAGGGACCTCTAGGCTGAGAACTGGTAGAGGAATTAATAAGCAGAGGGAAAAACATTCCAGAAAAAGGCCTAAAGACCACAAGAGATCAGGATGGTGGAGGAAGGGTAAGAGGAATGAAGTGGGTGATGGGGCTGGGAGGCCTTGTCCTGGTCAAGGAGTTTTGGCTTTATCCCAAGTATTGTGGGAAGCTAATTAAGCTTCATCTGGTTTATATTCTAAAGACTGTCTGGCTGAAATGGAGAACAGACGGGCAAGTGGGGAAGGTTGATGGACTTTGTGGAACTCAAAGAAATGGAGGAAGTAGTGAATCTGAGAAGTATTTGGCCCAAACTCATTGCCCTCCCCCAACCCCACTGGGGTCAGCCCACATCCCAAGACTGGTGGACTGGGCAGAGTTGGGGTAGAAGAAAAGGTCCACTGCCTAGGTCAAAGCCGGACAGCTCTGAAGGGTGGTTCTTGCCCTAGAGCTCCCCATGGGATGAGCAAGATCTTAAAACAGAGAGACAAAGATAGAATTTCCCATTCTCAATGGAAAGGAGGCTTGAGGCCAGTGCCCGCCCAGGGTTCAAGAGAAGTGTTGGGTGGGTCCCCAGTTCCACAGGTACATGGGATGATTCTGTTCTACCCTGGCAGGGGTACCACTCCTCAGAAACTATCCTTCCTCTCTCATCCCTTCCACCTTCCAAAGTACAGTGAGTCCTGGGATCCTGGCCCCAGCTTTCCCACTTAACTTGCTCTGTGACCTTGGGCACATCCCTTTCCTCTTTAGGCCCTTTTCTTCATTGGCAAGAAAGGAAGTTGGAGTAATCAGTGACTCTTAACTTTTGGGGCGGGTCACAGAGCCTTTGAGAGTTTGTAGAGCTATGACCACTGTGGATGTAATTCCTGACAGCTGCAGGGGTTCGTGAAGTCTGGGGGTAGGGTGGGGTGAGGATTTAACTGGGCCTCCTTGGATGCAATGGGAACAAGCACCATTCCTGAAGGCCTGCTGGGGCCTAGTTTCTCTCATTCTGTTCTAATCCCACTACAATCCTTAAGGGCAAGCATGACTTTCCTCACCCGGAGCTCAGAGACACAACTTCTGTGACTTGCCCAAGCTGGGACCCCTGAGCCAGGTCTTTCTGAAGCTAAATACCATTCTTCCCATGACAAGAAACATCTTTATTCTCATCCTCTCTCTGTGCCCACCACACTCCATAAAAGTGTACATTTTAGATCTTTTGCACTTTGAAGCACTATCATTAGGCAGGGTAAGATGGAAAATCTGAAGCTCACAGAGGCTTAAGTGGTCTACAAGGTCACACAGCAAGTGTATGGTCTAGCTGAGAGGTGGAGATAGGGAACGTGGGGACTAGGGATAGGAGATAGGTGGAGATAGGGGGCTCCTCAAGTCCCACTGTGGACAAACCTCACCTAGTTGCAACTTGGAAGAGCAGCGGGAAGAAGAGTAAGGGGAGGTTGTGTAGGGGAAGAAAGCAGGCCTGTAGGGTTGGGCCTTAAGGAATGGGCTCAAGTTTGGTCAAGGAGAGTCCGTTACCCGCGTCAACTCGGATTTTTCACTTCTCCCTGCCTCAGTTCAAGCCATTCCCCCTCTTAGGTCTGCCGAAATCTTATTTTCAAGGCCAGCTTAAATGTCTCCCCTGAAACTTTGAGGTTCCCCTGCCCCCATTCATTTTTCCTTACTGGGCCTGGGAAGAGATGTCCACTCTGCAAACCCTTAGTTCTTTGAAGGCAGTATGCTTCCCTCCTGCCCTACAGGGTTGGGGCAGGCAGCGTGGGGTTTACTGAATCAAGAGCTCTGAGGCTGTCGCTGACTCGTACCCCGAAAGGAGAGGGTCTTCTGGGAGTGTTCTACCTTTATTCTTGATGCTTCTAGCTCTGCCTGCCCCCTCAGGTGAAGGGGGCCTGGGGTGTGAGACAACAGTCTTAAGCCTGAGAAGGGCCCTAGGTATTTATGCCCTCACCCCAGGGTCCCCCATCCTGGGCCTGGGTCTGACTGCTAGAGGGACTGTATCCGCCCCTCCCCGCAGTTTCAATGAATTACCTTGCAGGGGGGCGGGGGTGAGTACTGCTGGGGGTACAGAGACAGATGCTCTTGATGAATGAAACTCAAGTGTTTCCATCACTCCCAAAGGACAGGCAGAAAATGCCCCAAACAGAACTCCTCTCGTCCCTGTGAAAAGTAAAACCACTTGGCAATGGCCCCCCCTAAATCCAATCCTGCGCCCTCCGTCCCCGAGCTCCACAGCCGGAGCCCCGACACAACAAGCGGCCAACCACTGGGAGGGGACAGCGCGGCGCCTTTAAGAGGCGGCAGGCGGCGCTGCCCCCTGGTGGCCGGCGCGGCAGCGCTTCCTCCGCCCCGGCGGGTTCCAACGGGCCTGCCGGCCGGGTGAGCGCGGCGACGACGGGCCGGGCTGCGCGCGAGGACAAGGGCGAGGAGGAAGCGGCGGCGGTGGCGGCGGCGGGTGAGGACGGCGGGGCGGGGTCACCGCGTGCGGCCCGCTGGGGTCCGGGCACGCCGGGAAGGGCACATGCGCCGCGCGGGGCTGGGCGCGGGGACAGCGGCGGGGCGGGGCCGGGGGCGGGGCGGGGCCCGGGCTTCCACGGCCGCCGCAGGAGGGCGCGCTGCGCGGCCGGGAGCGGCTGGAGGGCGGCGGGCCGGGCGGCGCCGGCACTGTCGGGCCTCCCTCCTCGCCTCCGGGCCGGGCGCCGGCCCGCGCCCGCGAACTTGCGCGCCGGCGAGCCCCGCGGGCGGCGGGGGCGTGGGCGGCGCGGCAGCCAGTGGAATGCCGCGCTGAGCGCCGCTCCCTCCGCCCGGGCGCCCGCCCCGGCCCGCCCCTCCGACAGGACTGCGCGCCCGGAGCCCCGTTCCGCGTCCCCGCCGCCGGGAGGAGTGCCCGCTCGCTCGCGGCGCGCGCCGGGCCGCCAGACTCGGCCTGTGGGCGATTTCCTCCGGACCCGAGCTCCCCGCCCGAGGAGGAAGATGCAGACCTTTCTGAAAGGGAAGCGAGTTGGCTACTGGCTGAGCGAGAAGAAAATCAAGAAGCTGAATTTCCAGGCCTTCGCCGAGCTGTGCAGGTAAGGAGGGACGGGGCTCCGGCGCCCGGGGACCCCCGGCCTGAGCTCGGCTCAGCCTCCGCTGCTTTTGGGAGGTTAGAGCAAAACGGGAAGGAGCGCTGCGCGTGGACCCTGAGACCCAGTCGCCAGGTGGTTGTGGTGGCCGCAGGCTGTGTTCGAGGGAAGCGGGGCCTCAGTGGGCGGTGTGGCACGGACTTCAGATGTACTGTGACCCCGTTGGGGAAGCGTCCAGCTGCCCAGGGCGCGGTGAGAACGCTCTACAGGCGGCAGAGGGGCCTGGGAAATCGGGGAGCCCACGCTGTCTGCCTGAGCTGGAGGTTACTTTTAGACTGGAGTGTTTTTCTTCCCTCGTCCCCTTTCCTTAATGGAGAAGGGCACCAGGGTTTGTGTGTTTGCTGACTGCCTACTACGTGCCCGGCGTGTCCTGTTCTTGAAGCTGTCATTGCATGTCACTGCGTTAAGCCTGTTTGAAGCTAGTGGCAATACTTGGCATGTATGTGATGATTTGCTGTCTCATTAGAGCCTTGCACCAGCTTTCAGTATTGGCTGAGGTGGTGATTCTGGGCCACGTGTTTGGGAATCTCTCTGCAGACAGGTGGGGTACCTGGCCTGGGGTCTCACAGCTAGGGAGTGGCTGGTGCAGAGGAGGCGCTGGGTAAATGCATGTGGTATAGTGGCCCTCCTCTGCTTCCCCACCCTCCCATCCCCCTCTCCCCCTTCCCCCTTGCTGATGCTCAATGGTGGAGACTCGGGGTGTTTGAATAAGATCACATTCTTAGTCCATTACAGAAGCGTCTCAGATATTTCTCACCTTGCTCTGCTGTTGTGGTTTTGCCTCTGAAAAGCGCTTAAGTCCAGTTCTCATTGAAAGCCCAGGAGAATCCGGCTCCCTAAAACCCTTTTGCAAACTCTTCGTGCAAACCTTTTGTTATGCAGTGTCTCCACTTAGTATATTTGATTGTTGAAAATGTGTTCTATTTGCATTTTTGTCCCTATTGGGCCCCTAATCATCTAGCAGAATTGAACAATTGGGTTTCCTTAGGTCTTGGTGCTTAGAGCTAATGGCAGGTCTGAGCTGGCCTTCCGGGGCAGTCTTAGCAACACCTCTGTGCCCCAAGGGACTGTAGCCCCTTTGCTCCACACAAGCCCCGCAGGGATCTTCCCCTGATAGCCAGAGGGGCGCACCTTGTATAAAGCAACTCTTGGTTCTGCATCCATTGGCCTGAGGACAGGGAGTTGGCTGCCTTCTCTCAGGCTGGTTTCCCCAGGAGAAAGCAAGCTTTTCATGGTCAGTAGGGCATGCTGAGCAGCCTGGGGATTCACCAGGAAATCAGGAGGAACTCCCAGTTAGAGCTTTGAAAATGCTTCTGAGGACTTTTGGAACATTAAAAAAGGGCCCTTGAACACTGCACCGAAGATACACACACTTGTGGAAAAATGTGCTATAGACACGCAAGAAGTGTGGAGAAGCCTCTTTGACATGTTTTTGAAATCCAGTTCTGGTGTTAGGCACCGGAGCTCCCCCTGCAGTCATCTTGGACTTGGGAAATCCCAGTTAATACCTCTCACCCTTTCCTGAGGTCTGCCTGCATTTGTGTCATCCTGTGTCTGCAGCTAAAGCATGAGGCTTGTCATCTGGTTGGTATGTTTTGCTTGTTAATTAGGAGGCTCTCAAACAACAGTTCCATCTGAGATGTGTGCCTAGGTCTTCATGATGGACTTGCAGAATGCCTTTCCCTCCTCGTGGATTTCCCCCCTGCTTTTAAGTGGGTGGGAGGCTTCAGAGCAAGCTATGATGTCAACCATTCTGGGAGAAATGGAGAAAGGAGCTTCACTTTCTCTGAAAGGATTGTTGCTCTCAGACTAGTTGCCTTCTGGCTAATACAGTAGCTTCAAAGAGAAGACAGAAAGCATCCAGCTCCTTCTAGAACCTCGTTTCATTAGAGAAACTTTAGATATTTTGTCACTTAAGCTTAAGAGGGAAAAGAAAACACTAAAGAGTTTTTGTTTCTTATCTCCTTTTTACGTTCAGTGCAGCGCCCTCTGGTGGCTACATTTCTATACTGGGTGCAAAATGCTCCCACCCTTGAGAGGGTGGCCAGAGCCTTTTGCTGTTTGTTGTGTTTCATGTGAACGCCAGTGTGATTTTAGTGGCCCAAAAAGGAATGTGGATGGACATTGTCATGTTTTCAAGTTTTCAACATTCACAATCTGGAGGTGCAATACTCCTGTTCTAATGGATGATGGATTGTCTGTGACTTCCCCAATGAAAAAGTCCAGAGATGTTTGAAAATGACTTGAAGCTCTGTTCCAAATGTTTGGGGCAGTGTCAGCACCAGAGAGGAAGACCTGAATGGCCTGGGATAAGTTGTTTAGTTGAATATCAGGCCTTGTAAAAATCTTAGAGCAGGAAGGGATGTTGGAGAGCATCTCCTGCAGTCCCTTTGTTTTACAGATGGGGAAACAGGCATGAGACGGAGCAGGTTCCAGACTTCTTTTCCTTTTATTTAACTTTCTAGAATGGTCCCAACCTGGTCACCTTGAGACCTACACAGAAAGCAAGCCCTTCCTTTGGGCTCCTCTGACAGGAAGGCCAACCCTCACATTATCTTCACAGGGGTCCAGCTGCTGCCGTTTTGACCAGGAATCACTTTTTCTTGCAAGGCCGAGTTGTGCCCTTAGCAAGTGTAAGGCCTTGTTCTCTGAGGTGGCATTGCCCTTGATGGCGGTAGGTAGTTGAAGCCCCATCCCACTGGGATGCCTTAGGGAGGCATAAGGCCACCTTGGTAGGCCAGCTCTCTGACTGTTCAGCAGGTGGGCATTTGACTTGGCTTGTTGTTTAGTGGTACTGTTTGCACCTGTCACTCTGTCACTCCCCTGTGTCTTTCCCTCTGTACAGGGGTACAGCTCTGCTCGAGTTTGCTTTTACTCCTCCCACTTGCCCTGACCCTGGCACAGCCTTGCATCTCCCTTACACCTTCTCTTTGTGGCTTTTTCAGGGTGCCCAGAAGGGACTCCAGATAAGAAGCAAAGAAATAAAGTTATTGGTTGGAAATGTTGGGTGGTTTTTATTTATTTATTTTAGTTCTCCATAGTGCCCCCAGTTCCTTTGTTTACGTTTCTGTGTCTCCTCCAATTCCTCGACTTCCCACCTTTTTCTTTCCTGTGGCTAAACCTGTATTGCAGTAGGTAGCGAAAAGTCACGTGACTTCACGAAGCATTTCTGTGTAAGATCTGGGGACCCTCTGTACGTTTCCCTGTATGTAACATTAGTTGGCTTTAATGAGGTCCTTCCAGGTACCTCATCTCACTTTCTCACTTCATCTTCCTAGCAGCCCAGAGATGGAGGGGTGGGGAGGCTGTCGCTTGGAGGGTAAGGGGCTGACACAGCCAGTTGGACTTTCCTGAGCCCAATTCTGAGGCCTGTTCACAGGGGGACATGGCTTCTTTGCTCAGTGTCTCTTCTTTGCCCAGGGCAGGGGGACTCCCTGGAGGCTCCAGAAACAGAAGAATGTTGGTCAAGTTCTTGTCCTTGAGAAACTCGGAAGCCAGCAGGGCTGACAAGGTCTGCAGGAAGTATGTTTGTGGAGCAATCTCAGGCTACGGTACCGTTGCAGGTGTTCCCACCAGGGGCCCTCTGCACTGCTTCTGCAGAAGGAACTAGGCCCAGAGTTCACTGAGGCTACTGAGCGCCTTCTGGAGGCCAGCACTGTGTCAGGCAGCAGGTTGGGGAGGGGCAGCAGGGCAGAGGCTCTGTCCTCTGGGAGCTGGGAGCATGGTTTCTCCCTGAAGACCATGCCAGGGAGGGCCTAGGGTGCCGGAGGGCACCCCTTCTCCTTGGCCTGTGTTCTTTCCTTTAAAAGGGGGCCTCTCCAAGGTCTCTTTCTCCTGAGATGGCTTAGCATTCTGGGCTATAATTCTTTCGTGACATTCTTGGTTAGGGGGAAGGAGGGTCTTTTCCAGGATAAAGTGATGCTGGTCTATGGGTATTTTTGTGTTTGTCTTAATGCCTGGATTGGTATCATTCTGGGAACACAGGGGTGAGAGAAGGTACTGACTTAAGTTTCCTTTGAAGCAGTGCATGGTGACTATTCTTAAGTCAACCTTGGACATAAACACTTTTTATCTGCCTCCACAGGAGAAAACTGGACTTCCAGTGGGAGAAAACACCCGTCTGGACATTGCTGTCTGTTGATCCGGGGCCTGGCTCCACAGTGGCTACCCCATGGCCCTGGGCATGTGACTTAACCCCTCTGTGCCTCAGCTTCCTCATCTGTAAAGCAAGGGTAGTAACACTATTTAGCTCAGTGTTATGCGCAATAATGGAGTCACCACGCTGGGCATGTGAAGTGCCTGGAGCTCTGTAAAGGATGGGTGCTGCTGTTTTCTTGTTGTTGGTGGTGTGTTCCTTGGGGAATGGGGGAGTGGGCCTCTGCCTGTGGCTGTCTCTACTCCGGAATCTTTGGCATTTGTAGATTTAGTGTTCTTGGTTTGGGCCCTCTGTGCGCTACCCTGAAGTCCATGATTGATCCTAGCTGATCATCCTGCTGGGACGCGGGGCTGGACCCGCCTACCCTGCCTGGCCTGGCTGTCGCCCAGCATTCCATGCCCTTCTTTGACACGTGGCCTGCCGGTCTGAGTCTCACAGCCCCTGGAGGCAGGGGTCCTGTCCTCACCTATCTGATGGATGCAGAACCTGAGAAAATGATACAGTAATACAAGATGGTACTTTCATTTTTTTTAATTTGGAGATTCAAAAAGAGTTTGTGCTGAGTTTCCTAAAAATCCTGAGTCTCCATGAGCAATCATATTACTATTGGTAGCTAACATTGTTTTCTTTATCTATTTGAATATTTGATACATGCACATGTTAAAAAACAAATCCGAGGACCCAAAGTCCACACTGAAAAGTTGGTCAGTTCCATCCTTGTTCCTGTCACTCAGGGACAGCTGTTAAAGGCTGTCTATCTTTAGGTGCTCTGTGCAGACATAGGGGCACA